TGGAAAGTGTGAGAAAAGAAACTGTTAACATAGAACTTATAGTTACATCTAGCCAATTCAATTGTAAATTGATGAGACCTTGTTGCTAATCTAGTACTGTGCTTAAATTCCTAAAATCTAGGTACCATAGCAAAGAGCTCATCTAAACAATTATCATGTAAGTATTTACAGAAAAGACACAGGGAAGCTATGTTACAGTGGTGGGAAAGTGACCGAAGCCAAGATAGCAGGTCAGGACTAATGTCATTGCATATTCTTCTTTGGATTTTATCAATAATCTCTAAATATATAGCAAGAGCACCGGACCATATGTGGTGGCAGTAGACTTATAAATGTGGAAGATGGATTCTGGAGAGAACAATTGTCTAGGACAACACAATGAACCAACTTTCTTAGCAGCAGACCTAGTAATTGATTCAATATAGTCTTTCTTATTTAAAGTTGACTTTGCTGTAGTTTGCTGTTGTCTTTGGTTAAAGAAATTTAAAGAAAAACGTAGACATTAAGAGCATAATTAATTTTGCTTCAAAAAGATACTCCTCTTCATTTTTGTATATTTCTTTCTTGACATATTACAATTAAAATATAATTTAATAGAGTTTCAGACCCATCACTTCCCACCACCTTAACAAGATCATACAAGATGTTATATGTATTTTAATCTTTGAATTATCTGCATTAAAACAGTTTTATTGAAACAAAAAATCTTATCAGAACAATGAATTCTGGGACAAAAATGTGACATTGAAACAAAATAAACATGAAAGTAACTTTTTTATTTTATTTATGTTATTGTTTAGAAAGAAAGTAACCATTGTTACGCTGACTTATTTTTTCATAAATATATTTTTTATGATAATTGATGTGCCTAGAAAAAAAATTGACTCTTAAAAATGTCTGCAGCAGAGTTAGTGTCAAAATTTTGTAAACTTTGTACACTTTTATTTATACCTGCAATTTGAAAGTCATAGTAAACACTAAATGTGCATGAATATTTAAAAGCAAAATGCTTGGCTCAGTTCTAAAGGGTTATTTGAAGAGTATAAAATTTGTAATAACTTGATAATTATACAAGCTGAAACTTTGCAGTCTGATATATGTTTAAAATGCTGAGTAATTCTTATCTTTTTTCTATAATTTACTAGTTAATTAAATTTTATTTAAAAATTTTTTTAAAGTTGGTATCAACTCAATAGGGATAGTAGATCTTATTAACATTTTCCATTAAAAAATGCTTTTATTTTGTTTGAAACTGATTAATTAACAGAATATATTCTAATAATATGTTGGATTTGGGTTTTTTAATCATTTCATCCCAAGCAAAGCAATAAAACAACTAAGAGAGAAGTGGTTGCAGAGTGCAAGAGAATATGAGAAAAAGAAAAATATTATTATGGAGATATAAGAATAAAAATAAAAGGAATTAAGAAGAAAAGAGATAATGATTGACATTACATTTAAACTTTTGAAGTTCAAAGTTGACTGAAAAGCAAGATCTCAGAAGAAAATTCCACAAGTGAGAGGTGTGAGACAAGAAATTGTTAGCATAGAACTTACAGTTACATCTATTTCAACTGTAAAATGACGAGATCTAGCTAGTAGTCTTGTACTGCACTTAAATTCGTAAAGTGAAGGTACTAAAGAAGAACGTATATCAGAGCAATTACCTTGAAAATATTTATAGAAAAAGCACATTGAAGCTACATTATGATGAAGGAAGAGTGACTGAAACCAAGATGTAAGATCAGGACCAAAAGCATTGCAGATACTTCTTTGAATTTTGTCAAGAATCTCTTAAAATACATTGCAGAAGCACCAGACTGGATGTGGCAGCAAAATATTCAATGCATTGAAGAATAGTAGGCTTATAAATGTGTAAGATTCTGGCGAGAAAAATTGTCTAGCATGACACAGTGAATCAACTTTCCTAGCAGCAGACCTATTATTTGATTCAATATAATCTCTCCACTTCATGTTAGTCCAAGAAGGAGTCGTTATGTTGATTGAAGGCAAAAAAGGTTCTCTATTGTGATTAAAAAAGGGCAGTTTTGTTTTGGAGGCATTAAACTTAACAAGGGTCTTCTTGCCACAGTTAACAATGAATTGTAGTGCATTTTTAAGATCAGCAGCCAGGTTGAGCTTATCAAACCGATTAGATTTACCATTAAGACAGTAGTAAATAGTTGTGTCATCAGAAAAGATACAGAGTTGAGAACTGATGATGTCTAATCTGTTTTCCCAAATCTTAATCTATACAGATTTTTAAAGTTTTTCTATGTAAACATTACTCACCCATCAATACTAGAAAGAGTGAAAACAGTGGATTTGAGAAGTTCATTTTCTTAAAAAACTGTTTTAAGAAAAATTTTTTTATAATTTCACCTGACAGTAACACTAACTGTTTAGTCAATAAATGCCAAATATTTCCTGTATAGAAATAGCTAATTACCATTATATAGTGTGATATATGCCCGGATATTCTTGGTTTTTATGACCAGAAACTTTGGAATAAAATGAACTGACTCGAGGGTATAAAATAATATGTTTTTATTTATCTGCATTAGGGTGAAGAGAGTCCTTTGATATTCAGTGTTAGTATAATGCAGATATTGGTAGCAGTCTAGAGAAATATCTGTTTCAGCTTGGTAGTGAGTAATTTTGAAGTCAGACCTTGCTCGTAGTAATGATCATCTTTGAAATAGGTCAGTATCAATCTACTGTGTTTTTCTCAACCTTAAGAAGGGCAGAAATATGATTAGCAGATAACTATTTCTTCATGCGTCAAACATGACTGGTTTCTCTTGTGTTAGTGTCTCTGTTCCATCTCTTGCCATCCTCTCTCCTCCTCTATCACAGAGGCATGAGCTTATATCCTTTTAACCAGGCTCTGAGACTCTGGCACAAACCTTGGTTTAGGCTAACATCATGTGTCTTTTTTTGATTAGCCAAAATTATTTTATTTTCTGGCATTCTTTTCTTTTTCATTTTTTTTTTTTATATAATGGAAGTTATGTGTGGCGCCTGTCTTATTTTAATAGATTTATGGTCATAAATAAGTACACTCTGGTCCAGCAAACTTACAGCAGTTTTCAGCTGGGTTTAGTCTTTTCTTCTTCCTCTTTTTATTGGAGGGTTGCATTTTCGTTAGGTGAGAGAGAAGTATAGGGAGAGAGAGAGAGAGAGAGAGATAAGGGTTTTAAATGAAAGTGTAAATCCTTTATTTTAATTTGAATTCTTTCTTTTTTGTTTATTTATATTATTTTTATATTTTATTTTATTTTTATTGAGACTCACTACAATATCAAGTAAAATGGCCATGATTAGAATGTATTTATTGCAGCAGATGATGGAAATATCTGATAAATATTTGGTGGAGCCCCTCTGCCTTCCATACAAATGACTTCACTATACTTAAGCCAAGCACAAGAGTCCTAAGTTCACTTCCAGACTCTGTCTGCAATGAATACTCTTTACCTCAATGCCATAGCTCTGTCTTAAGTCAGGACAGAAAAGCTTTGCAGATTGACTGGTCTTGGGGATTCCAACCTTGCTGCAACACCTCCCTCATTGCACCAAAAAGGGATGGTCAACATCAGCACAATGTTGGTGGCAGGAACTGGGCAATTTTTGGCTTTAGCTCAGGTGCATGCATTTGGAGTCACCATTTTAAACCATCCTTGAGCCACATCCCACCACTCTGGAATTGGGGAGAGAGTAAATACTAGTTCACTTATGGACTTACTAGAGCAGTGTTTCTTAACCTTTTTACCCTTGCATAACCCTTAGAATAAATTACATGTCTCAAGGAACCCCTGCGCAAAAACAAAATTATATACCATATCTTTCTCATTTTATTTTCATCATAGTTCAAGGGATAAATATCATCGTATATATTTTTGAATAACTGGTTTAAGGAAAAATTAATACTTCTTTGTCAATTTTTTTGGTAATGCTAAATAAAATTCATACTGTTCATTTAAAATAAAATCGATACTATTTGTTTTATAATACTTCATTCACATTGGTGCCATACAGACATCACTAAATATATTCCCAATGATTGTTATATTTTTTAATAACATCATAGGTTAGATAGGATGATGTCTACTATTTACATTGCTGGGACTATCATCCTCATCTTTGTTGCCATATTTATCACAACATTTCAGCCGTTCTACGCTTCGGCCTTCTTGAGGTGGTTGGAATGTCGAACTGAACCCTTTATTTTGCTCACTGGGGTAGACTGTTCTAACTCCACATGCCATGTCTAATGGATGTCAGTTAACAGTTATTTTCTGTTAATTCCTCTCTCCAAGTTCTCCACCACCTTAACCAGGTATTGAACTTACACTCTTTGGGTCACACAGTGGATAAAGGCGTTAGTTAGATCTAGTGATAGGACCCAAAGAGTGTGATAAATATGGCAACAAAGATAGACAGATACAGGATGTTGTCTATATTACAATAATCAAGAATATATAGGTGTGTTTAGTAATATTACCTGTATGAAATTAAAATGCCAAAAGTGCATTAGCTTATCTCACCTGTTCTTGTGGAACCCTTGGAGACCTTTTGTGGCACATTAGGGTTCCGGGCAACCCTGGTTGAGAAATGCTGCTCTAGAATGTCAGGTGCATTCACAGTACAATTAACATTAGTTCAAAGAGTTTGTTCTGAATTTGCAAAAGTATGGAGTTTTATTGCAAATGTGGGTTCAAGTATGATGTTTCGAGGCTCAGGTATGTTGTAGTTTGCGCAAACTTTTAAAAAACTTTTTTTTTTACCACTGAATAAAGGCTCGTGTATGAAAATAATGGCTTTATTTACCTTCTTTTTTTTTTTTTAGGAGGAATACACGTGAATGGATCATTGAAAATTCTCCTTACAATCAGACTCTTGCTTCCCCCAACCCTCCAAAAACCATCCCAGATAATGGATCTTCAAAAACATATTCAAAAGGTCATGGAACTGAAAATCTGAGTGATGCAAATTCAATAAACATGAAAAGAAGGCGTCGACCTGCCAGTGCACCAGCACAAAGTATTAGGTATTGTTTTCAAATTCATTAGTAATATTGAGGCATTTTTAATTTTATCCCTTACTTCAAATATCTATATAATCTTGTCTATTTAGGTCTATTGATATTTCATCACTTCATTCCAAATATTAGGTTGGTGCAAAAATAATGACGTAATAATGTCGTTTTTTGACGTTAAAAAATACGTCAAAAAAAAAAACGACATTATTACGTCATTATTTTTGCACCAACCTAATATCTCCAAGGGTGGGCTGAAAAGTTCATAGTTTATGAAAGAGCGATGCTAGAGCTGTGAAATCTTGCATGCATTTAATTTCAGCTCTTCTTATTAATAACTGAATTTTTTCTTTCTAGGTAAACTGACATTTGACTGTTCAAAGAAGACTTCAAAAGTAACTAGCAGCGACTTTTCTAGAAGATCACCAAAATTTGGCATTGTCGTGTTATCAAGTACCTGTAGTAAAAGGGTTTAGTTCCCAAAGACATTCATGCTGACATGGTTACTACATTAAAGGATGATGCTCCAGCTTTATCAGCAATGCAAAAGTGGGCAGCTGAACTTAGGACAAGAAGGGAGAGTCTTGAAGATGATCCAAGGTTTGAACATCCTGTAACTACCACCAACAAGGAAAACATTAATCATGCTCACCACATGATGATGGATGACAGGCAATCAACTATAAATCAAATAGTCAATTCTATTAGCATATCCTGTGAGAGAGTTGAGAATATTCTGCACAATGAACTTGGCATGATGAAGGTTTCTGCTTGGGGGTGGGGAATACCACATCTTCTGATACCTGATCAAGAATGCACACAGCTGATCACATCATGTGAAAAACTTTTCATTGTCTAAGGCAGATCCAGCTGGTTTCCTTGAACATTTCCTAACTCAACACTCATTATGGGTTTGGTGCATGCCTTTGAACTAGTTGACCACCTCCCTATTTTGTTGATTTGTCCCCATCTGACTATCATCAGTTCCCCAACATGAAAAAACACTTGGCTTGGAACCAGTATTGCAGTGATGATGATGTCATATCTGCAGTTGATGATTTTTTTGATGAAAGCATCTTCACCAATGGGATCCAAGCAAAAGAAGTGTGTAGACCACAAATGGGACTATGTTGAAGAATAAACCTCATTTAGTCACATTCTATGGGAGTATCTTGGTCAGCCTATGAACTTTTCCACTAACCCTTGTATATAATATTGTCTATTTAGGTCTATTGATATTTCATCCATTTATAGCAGATATTGATATTATAATAGACTAATAACCCTTGTTCAATGTTTTACTGCATGAGAATGCCTAATGATAATTTGTTGCTGGAAATAATTAAGATTAAACAGTGGAAAAAATTGTTGAGGAGAATAAGGAAAGAAAGGCTAGATTAAAAATAATTATTAGAAGCCATAAAAAGATTTTGGATAAGGCTCTAGGATAATTAGAACCAGAAACAAACCAAGTAGAATTCCTTAAGATTTAATTAGACTAATTCTTTCCTAACCTACCAAATTGCTTTCAATGACAAATATATATGATTTTTTGAAAATTACCAAGTTCCAAGTTAGAATTCTTCCCATTTATACAGAAATGCTCATAGACTTAAAGTGAGTAATGTCATAGTGATCAGGGAAGCACCCACTCAGGAATCGGACTCATAAAGCAACAGTAAGGATAAACATTCTTAGTGGAAATTTTTCTGTACAAATGAAATATGAACAGAATGAAGATGTTTTTCCAGTATGGTTGGGTATAACAAGGTGACAACAATGGTTCAATGTTTTTATTGCTTGTGAATGCTTAATGATGATTTGAAACAGGAAATAAATAAGATAAAACAGTTTAAAAACTCAGGGAAATTAATTAAATTTTGAAGAGAATAAAGAATGTATTACAAATAATAATTAGAAGCCAAAAATGAGTTTGAGATGGCTTTAGGAAGAGTAGAACCTGAAATGAACCAAATAGAATTCATTAAGAGTTAGCAAAAGTAGAGCCTTACCAATCTATCCAGTTACCTTAGGAACAATATGACAAATATTTATGGTCTTCTGAAATTTCCAATATTCCAAGGAAGAGTTATTGGTATGTTTTTACAGAAGGTAGTAAAGGAAAGTGATAAGAAAAGACTAAACATCAAATACAAGAAGACGAAATGCATGGTTGTTAACAAAAGGAACAGCACAACATGTAAATTACAGATTGGAGATGCCAAAATCAAAGTTCAATATCTAGGAAGCATATTGACAGAGGACAGAATGTGTGACATTGAAATCCAATGGTGTATTGGAATAGCAAAAGATACCTTCCAAAAGCTGAGAAACAAAAATATTCTTATGAATTACTACTAGAATAATTTTCCTGATAAAAAAATCGCCAACCAGCTACAGTGAAAAATTAATAATTTTTGATTCCCTATGTACTTTCAAATTCTTCAATTTGTTTCCATTAAATTTATTTTAGTTATCAACAGTTTGTTGGTTTTTCCATGAAATCATTTTTTAGCAGAGACAAAGAAATTACCACTGTTGCAGAGATTTCATACCTTAATTCTCAGTAGAGGCTAGTTTTGATTACTTGGCAAAATCTCTATAAAATCTGATTACCTTCCAGCATGCTGAACTTTACATGCGATTATCACTAAGATTGAAAACACTAAGTGACAACACCAAGAACACTATTGGTAGTGTTGAAACAGGGAATAATAGATCAATGAATCAAGAGTTGGGGTTAAAATATGAAATTGTCCTATTCAAATTGTATCACTTTATTCCAGACATCTATTTGATATCGTCTACCATCTATTCCCAACTATAATGTGTGTATAAACAATTTTTACACAAAAAATAAGGGTTACACTATACACAGTTAATTTTTTTTGAAGAGGTTAAAAATCATTCATTTTCAGTGAAAATACACAGGTAATTGTTTCTGGAGGGGTTAGAATTCATAAAATTCATAAAAAAAACAAGATATATCTATAGAGTATTTTTTACTTAGAATGACTTGAATTCTCATAACTTGAAGTATGTACCGCAACTTGTGGTACACCCTGCATTATGTACTGGTAATCCTGATAAAAAGGTTGTCATTGAAAAGGCAATAGCTCAGTGATGAAAACACTTGCAATATGAAAATGAATGCAAATTTGAGATAGGAAAAAATCTATTAATTCTTCATTTATGTAATGTATTTGTTGATCTTAACTGGCATACATAGTGAAGTTTTGTAATGACAACAGGGAAGAAACTTAGGTGATATAGGAAGCAGGGCCATGGTAAAGGGGCTACCATAGTCAAGCATGAATAAAAGCAAAAGTACAGTATCTAAAACTTTGTATCATATATTTTATAGTAAATAGTTTTTTTCTCATCATTTTGGAGTAACTTTGTACAAAAAAGAATGAAGACCATTTATTTGCTATAAAACATGTCCAGGATGGTGTCCAGTTAAATACAGTTGCCCTACTAGTATTGCTCAGAAGCTTTGGTTGCATTATACACAAACTATGCAAAAAAATCAAGTTTTTAATAAAAAAAATCAGGGGTCACTTTATACATGAAGTAGGTTTATACACGATTCCATGGCTGGTGCAAGGGTCTTGTGACCCCAACCCAATCTATGATATGGGGCTTCCAATCTATTACATCACAATTTTCCTAAGGTAATATTCATATAAAATACAACTTTTATTGCAACTAAATTATGTACAATAATAGGTGAACAATTCAACTACAAAAATTGAAAATAAATACAATGTATCTAAATGCATATACTCTATAATTAGAGACATGTCATAATAAATCCTTCCATATTAAATAAATCAACAATGTTTTGTGGCAGTTTTTAACATCAACTTGAGATTTTTCTTGTTAAAATATTGAATAATTTTAAAACATTCTACATTATGGATAAAACAAGGAGTGAATTTCATATAGTGTTTTTTTTTTGAGACTAAGCATGAGGAAAACAAATTCATGAATTTGGATAAAAAGAAAGACCCCTAGAATGAGGTCAAAAGCCCCAAAAATATTTTATCCTTTAATAGTCAGTTTGTACTTAGTTCAAATTGTAACATATATAAATGTAGGTAGAAAAAAAGTAAATGTTGATAAGATAGGGTCATTGCCTTGGGCCCCCAATCAACCCCCAGCTACCAATCAGCACCACTCACCAATTACCCCACCACCACCACCACCACACACACCAATCAGTAAGGCAAATCAGGTCATGGGTTTTGAAAGTGTCTGTTAACTCTGATAAGTTAGAAATATAATACTTCTAAACTGATGTGTTCAATATTTCCAGATCCTTATCAGCAATGTCGACATACAGCAGTAATGAGATGCTTGGCAGGAAGAATCTGAAGCAAAATTATGGTAAGTACTGTTCAATCAATATTTGCAAATGATGTCATATTACAATTCTTATTATTTACAATGTTTGAAGCTTCAATTTTGAAAAATATTCAACCCAGGCTCAATTTTCTAGAAATAAAACTATTCTTAATCTTTAGGCTGAAAGGAAAATAAATTCATAGATTTTTAAAATAATTAACTTTCCCATGCAGTTGACATACTGATATATATATATATATATATATATATATATATATATATATATATATATATATATATATATATATCCTATGAAGTTTACATTGCCTGCTGTCAATCTATATAAATATATATGTTTTTGTAGTGATGACAATAAATAAATTACCAAATAAAAAATTTAACCAATAGAATACCTCAAAATACAAATAAGAATATTAATTAATAATAAAGAAAAAATATTAATTAATTATAAAGAAAGGAAAAGTTAGATTATAAAAACAAAGTTAAATAAAATATAGAATACTCCCATGATGCACCAGAACAAGCATTTTACTGCCAAAAGAATAAAAAATCACCACTTTCTCACTCTTTGTATTTTGACTACTGAAGTATGCAGATGGTCTGGGCATTCTAGCTTAAAGCTTGTTGCCACCAACAAATAAGAAAAATTTCTTTATTTCTGTATACATATATATTCTTTAAAATATACAATCATTTCACTGTAATATATACTAAAGCTATTTATTGTATTTATTTCCATGCTTATTTCATTGTATCTCATGTATGATTTTTGTTTGTAATATTGCAATCCTGTTGTGATCTCTTGATGACCTTTTTAACCCTACATATATATATAAAAAAATAACATTCAGACAAGGCAAATGCATCACAAGAACATCCACAAAATTTTCAAGACACCAGGTAATGTCAGTCCCTAGCATTTGTATTACAAACTAACTAGTGCTTAGTACTGTTTCCAAATGAGCATAGACATATTCTAATATATAATGTGACCTGTTTTTTTTATGTATTTTTAGTAATGTTGTGTGTTGAAGATGTCATTTAGCTTAGTACTTGTACTACAGGGTATCCACACAAAACCAAAATGATGGTGCTCATGAGAATTAACCATGAGCATGTTTATAGTCATTTATTTCCATCAAATGGTAATTTCTTATTTTTCCCAAAATGGGCCAGCACAGCCAAGCAACAGTGTTATAAAAATGCAACAGTAAAAGGGTTAATAAATTCACTTCTGCATTACTAATTGGTACTAATTAAACAGACTGGTCCACCCATAAGAAAAAAGGTGGGTTGGAAATGATTTTTGTAGATAAAAGTTAATTAGTTTTGTCAATAAAAATAGCTACTCTTACAGTATATATAGGCAGGCCAAGAATGGCAAATTATTGGTCAGAACACTAATAACCAGAACTGAATGAGCGGAGATTTGAACCACATGGGGATGTAATTCTAACAGTGATGGATTGCCATTGTTGAAGTTTTGGTATACGTCCAAAAAGGTATGAAGACACTCAGATGGCTGCAAGAAATGGACAGGTCAAGATACATTGTTGCACCCAGATTCCTTTGTGAGGAAGGCCAACATGTAATGCTAAAATTTTGGCCAACCAGATGACATGCATGCTCTCTCTCTCTCTCTCTCTCTCTCTCTCTCTCTCTCTCTCATTTCCTCCTAGAAATGATGCTATGATTACTGTAACTCATAAAATGAGAGAAAAAGAAAAATGGAAAGAAAATGGAATCAAGCCTACACTTTTATGCTGAGGGTGTCTTTGAATGTCACTCTGGGAGATTGTCTGACCAATGAACAATCGTATGGGAACCTCAATCCAATATCAGACATCATCAAAGTGCATAGAGTCAGATCCACTGGGCATCACTGGAGAGTTAAAGAAGAAATTGTTAGTGTTCTTCTGTGGTAGTCTATACCAAAGAGAGCTAGCAGAGGACAAGCTAAAGTCTATGAGGTCTGATCAAAAAGTATCTGGACTTTTGCTATGGTAGCAGAGCTAAAGTACACCAAGTGAAGCTGCTTGACCCACATTGACCTTGAACTCTGTTGTGCATATACACTAAATTATAACGTTCTCACTCACTTCTGCTGGTTACAACAATGTGTCAAAAGAAAGCTTATAGAGTGTGATCATCTTACCACACCAAACAAGTTCCATCAATGACCATGGCTTGTGCAGCAGTTTTTGGCCAAGGACAATATTCACTAGGTCCAACAACCACCATATTCTTTAGATATTGGCCTCCTTGTAATATTTTTCTACTTAAAAGGAACATGATTTCAAGATGTCGAGGAAATCCAAGAGAATGTAACAAGGCAGCTGCTCACTATCCCAAAACAGGAGTTCCTGGAATGTTTCCATAAATAGAAATGACCCTAGATAAAGTGTGTAGCTTTAGAAGGGAAATACTTCAAAGTAGATCAAATACCAAATTGATATGTGTTGTATTTTTATAGTCCCAATCCCAATACTTTTTGATTAGACCTTGAATATGGAGTGAAGATGGAAATAAACACCAAGGCAGTCAAACACCAAATGCAGAAGAAAAATGGTTTCCAAGTCAAAGAGTTGCACATTTCTTCTGGTTAATAAATGAATGCTTTGAAAATAAATATTTAACATTTTTTCAACAAATGAGTCACATTCCTGTCAACAATAAAAAAAAATGCTTCATGATCCCTTTGAAGGGTATTTAAGCAAAGGTTCTAGACCAGACAAGGCAGTAAGGAGATACAGACAGCAACAATTTACAACACAACAGCTTAAAAGAATTTCTCTTACTCATTCACCCATCTTCCTCACCAAGCTACATGACACAATTTCCTCCTCACTTTCTCCCTTGTCTCTTTTTTCTCACACATACACGCAAAGTAATCACATTCCTCTTAACAACTACAAACAAGAAATGTAAGAACATTCATACATTCTAAGACAAATTTAGTTGTAAAAAAGACGATAATAAAAATATTTTATATTTAAACACTTTTTTTGTTATTGTGAATTGATTTAAATCCACAACATATCAAGCAGATTTGTGATAAATTCCTCTGAACTGCAGAATATGATGAACAATAGAATTAGATGGTAACAGAGAGTCACAGGAATCTGTGCAAGGAGCATGAATAGATGATGATGATGATGAAAAAAACTCTCCATCACTGTTGCAGTCTATAATGTAGCATTGGGATCTGAAGAACTGAAGCTAGAGCCAACATGAAATGCAACACTATTTTTATTTCTCTACTCCCATTTTTGCATGTTTTTCAGTCTTATATCAAAAGTTAGACAATTATCAGGATTCCATGTCCAAGAGGTTCAACTCATTTTTATGCAGTTCAGGTTGTCTGACCAGTATGATAGAATCTAGAATTACATTCACTACAATTATGATCTTACCATTTTTGTTTGTAACTCCATGCCTACTGAGAGACAATACAATTGAACAGAGATAAATAACTTTGAAACCTATGCTTGAATTTTTTGCACTAAAAATTTAGAATAACACTAGCTTAAAATCCACCCTATTGGGTGGCATTTAAGCTAGCTCCTACATAGGGCTCTTGATTAAACCTTCACCACAGTAGGTAGGTAGGAGTAGACACAATAGGTAACAATAAACTAGAGAAGAACTCAAAATTGATTGCTGCATTTAAGTATTGCATTAATATTTATACTTATCTTTTAAAAGATCAACAAAGATGAGCTATTGAGAGTTGTGCCTCTTTAATTGAAAGAGTATGACACACTGACATTGGCCTTTATTATATGGAAGAAGGAGATGAGCTAATGAGAATTGTGTCCCTTTAATTGAAAAAGTGTGACACACTGACATTGGCATTTATTATATAGATTTATTAGCTCTTTTCAGTACCAGAGATGATAGCCATTAATCATTTTGCTTTATTTTTGCCTCAAAGAAACTCGACCACCTTTGCCATACTCAATAAGGCATCCGCCACACACAATTGTTGCGACTGTCTACAAAAATGGTTACTGTGATATTTCTGCCAGAGTTGCTGCCCCTGACTTAAGACTGGTAAGTTGAAGCCTGATTTAATATCTGGAAAAATTTGGGGGACATTGTTTTTTATTGGCATTTGACCAATTCTAAATACATCTGAAGACATTGAATTATTTGCTTTTTTTTTATAATACAAAGTTTCACCCAGTACAAGGTTTAAGAACCATTAAAGGTTGAAGGTTACTGTCAAAGTGGTTATGAAGATTGAGAATAAGATTATGAGGATATGGATGATCGATAACAATTGACTGTTGCCTTGAAGAGGTTAAGATTGTAGTCTTCATGGGAGTATCCATGTGGGATTCTCTTCTACAAAGTAGTAGTTCTTGGGAAAGAATTGTTTGAGTTAAATTTCCTCCTTACAATTGGAATACAAAGGAAATGTAGTTGTAAAAGATTGAAATGGTGGAACTGAGCTCATCTGAATATGAACCATGGAAATATTGGCAGTCTTGGACCTTTGTGCATTTTAACTACTTTCACACTTTGGCAATGTTTATTGTTCTAAAAAGCAATAATTAGAATTGTAAAACCTCAGCATATGAAAGTGAATTTATGCATTTAATTTGTTTTTGAGAATTGGCAACAAAAATAATAAACACTATTTATTTATTATAGTGTTTATTGGAATTGTTGGCAAAAGATTGGCTAATTGCCAATAGATTGAAAAGGTAAATAATAATGATTTCCTTACATATGTTCACATATTTTAATAATTTAGTAAATATTTATAAATTTATGAATAAAAAATTGGTTTCATATTTATTTCTTGGTAAATTATAAATATTGCATTGCATCAGTTTTAATTCAATTGTATTAGTTTTTACAATGTTGCAAATATAAAATTATTCTTGTAAATAAACAGTCTAATAAATAGTGTTTAATATTTTCGTTGTAAATTCTCAAGAACAAAAATCTCTAATTAACAATTTTGAGCAATTATCCATTACACCACCCATACTTCTAAGTTTATAGCACTTGTTATTATAAAACAGTCATCCATGAAGGTACTGACCACACTGAATGTTGCTTAACTTGGGTGATTGTACAGAGATTAAATATTTTTGTTGCAAATTCTCAAGAGCAAAAATAATGTATCAATTCACTTTCATCATATGTTTAGGTTTCATTACAGTTCTAATCATCACTTTTTAAAACAATAAACATTGCTGAGAACTGAAGGTAGATAAGATGTCAAGAGAAAAACCATCCTTTTGATACTGTTTTTTGTGGAGGAACAAAGGTTCACAATTGCTGAAATATCAATAGAGTATCAATATGTTTGTGACATAGAGTCTGTGGAAGAGAGGCTGCTGTTCATTTTAGGTCTTAATATAGTTGTGTAAAGATTGAAAGATGATGAATCAAGGCCAAATGGCAACAACTACATTGGTTGTCAGAAAGTATAGTTTCAGCTATACACTCTTCCTTATGGCATAATGACGCCTTACTGGAAACTATTGCCTGCTTTTGTACAGCTTTATTTTATCATAATGCTTAAATCAGGTTCAAGTTGAATAAAACCCAAACTGCTCTTATTCTTCCTCGAGAAATAAGAACAATTCCATGAGTGACTGTTACTTGTTCACCAAGACACAAAATGGCTGGATTCTATATCAAAAACAAAAGATTCAACATATAAATTTTATTATTTACATTATTCAGTTTAATGTCTTTATCTTTGTTGTTATTATCACAACGTTTCAGCCATTGTGTGCTCTGATGGCATAAATAGCCTAATGGTTAAAGTGTTGGTTTGTGAATTTATAGTAATTGGGTTGGGTTGTACAGTTGAAAGAGGGCAAGCAATAACTGAGCAACATTAAAATAAGAACAAAAAATATCTCTATACATGGAAAGTAGAAGCACAACACTCTACCCTCATAAATTAAACAAAGTATTAAGTTCAATTGATTTGTTTTTTATGGTTTATCATCACTTTGGGTGATATTTAAAGATGAAACAGAATTTGGAGGTTATAAGAATATTTCTGTTTTTGGGATTGTAAATTTTGCATTAACGATTTTTGGGCATTATCAATGATTTTTCCAGATACAAGTCCTTAAATTTAATTCATAGCTAGGGAGAGCTGGATGTTTTAAGTTTGAAATTCACTGAAAGTTATTGGGATTGAAGAAGGCTGAAGAGCATAATGGCTGAAATGTTGTGAAAATAAGAACAAAGAAAAGGTTATTGGTCTGGATGTAAATAATGATAACTCTTCATCCTAGAAATTAATATAAATTTTACTTGAAAAATCCATGATCTGGCCAGGTACAAATATTTGCTTTGTAATATAATTAAATTTCTGTTCTGTGCTCTTTCAAGGAAGCAAATTGTTCAACATGAGTCATGGGTATTTTCCAACCTTGGTATGGCATCCATTGACCTTGAGAGATCATAGATTTGTGCCATATCATCATAACAATAGGTAGGATAGATAACAGTTGACCCTTGACTTGAAGAGGCCAAGATTGTAGTGATCAGGGAAGCAACATCTTGGGAGTCTGTTCTATAATGCATAAAAAATAAAATAAAGATTATACAGTTTTTACTCATGGCAAATTATTATTTTTCATGTTGTAAATAATCTTTTGTTAAAACAGTTTAATTTTATTTCATTTCAAATTATTTGATCATTTTGAAGGTTTTATATTCAAATGGAATCTGCAACTACATCCTTTATTCTAAGATTCATGTAAAGGAAACAGGTTTTCTTCATTTTTAGTATCTTTTTTTGTACTTACAATACAATTATTATTTTTAGTTGCACTGTAACAAAATTAGACAAAAATCTGCAAATACATTTGACATATTACATATGCAGATTTTTGCATATTATATATAGAGATTCCATTAACTCTATTGTACCATGTTGGAAATAGTCATGCCAGTGAGAATATTTCAACTTATGAAATAAATGTATTAGTTCAAATAAATGTTCACATGGAAACTTTTTGTAAAGTTTAATAAATATGGTATGAAATAATTATGTTATGAAGGTAATTATTTGTAAAATAATAAGTGTGCCACACAAAATAATCACCATGGTGGGGAGTGGTGGGTATTGAAGGAGATAAATGAATTGTGCCAACACTTGTGTTTGGTACACTAGTGTATGAATTAATACATCTGTTCTTAAGTACCAACCTACACTGTTCTCCAAACACATGGAATCTGTCATATGTTAGATATTTATTACTGATAGTCATACTGGTAGGGATTTTTCAACTTATATACCTATTTTTCAATATATGTACTACCACTGAAACCCCTGTTAGGGGGTCCAGGCCTGATTGGGGGCCTCGGACAGTACTTTGTAACCCTCAATATCTTTTCAACATTTGCTTTTTTCTACCTACATTTATAGGTTACAAATTAAACTAAGCACAAATTGACTATTAGAAGACAGACAATTTCTTTCTGGAGTCTTTTTTGTCCAAATCTTTGAATTTGTTTTGCTCATGCTAAATCTAGAATAAACTCTATATAACGTTTCACTATTTTTTATCAATAATGTTGAAATTATTCAACTTTTTAACAAGAAAAATCTCAAGTTAAAAATTGCTGTAAAACATTTGTTGATTTATTTAAGATGGAATGATCTATTCTGACATGTCTCTAATTTGTATTTAAATACAGTGTAACCCGGATATAAGAGAGTTGTCGGGACCGGAGAAGAAGTCTCTTATATCCGGGTTTCTCTTATATCCGGGTTTGGTCTATTTTATATACATTAACACAGGCTCTAATTTGGGACCAGAGAAAATCTCTTATATTCGGGTTTCTCTTGTATCTGGGTCTCTTATATCCGGGTTACACTGTACATTTGATTTATTTTCAATTTTTTGTTCATCTATATTGCATATGATATATTATTGTACATAATTAGGTTACAATAAAATTTGTATTTTATATGAATACTACCATATGAAAATTGAGATGTAGTAGAGTAAGGAGGTCCTATATCAAAGATTTCAGAGGGTGTCATTGATTTGAGGGTGGAGGAACGAAGCCTTTGTACTGGTTCTGACATGAACCCCTACATTTTTGCATCAAATACTAATGTTATCTGGAATACTAATTGAGACTGCTTTTTTTCAACTTAGAAAATAAGCATACCAGTTCTCAGAAAGTGTATGTTTTCTGGTGCAGCAGGATTTCTGGAAAAAAATGTTCCAGTAATCAGATCTTGGAGAAAATTGAAGGAAATAATTTAATCATGCCAGTACTTATATTTGGTACAAGAGACTTAGGGTTGGTGTTAGGCTAGTAAAAAAGCGAACATTGCTCAAAGTCTCAAAGAACAGGAAGTTGTAGAGGGCCATAATTGGCTACATCCTGAGCAAACACAGCACATAAAACAAGTCTTTTATTACAACATATAAGCACCATCTTGAGGGAATATTTCCAGTTTACATAATCAGCATATTGGTTTTTAGAGATGCAAAAGGAAAGGTGAATTCACAAGAGACACATGACTGTCCATGCTGTTTGCTATGTAGACAGTATAGAAGCAAGATATGACTGTCTATGGCAGTTGACAGAGCAGGGGAACCCACATGGAGTTACCAGAAAAAATAGAAAACACTACTGGCTTGACCATTTTACCCTTTGGGGAAATATTACAAAATATGGAGTCTCAAAAGTGATGTTTTTCCCTTGATACTCTGCTATTATTTTAAGTACCTTCTCTCCTCAGCAATGTTTATTGTTTTAAAAATTGTTTTAATTAGAATAGTAAAGTGAATTTATAGATTTTTTTGTTCTTGAGAATTGACAACAAAAATATTAAACATCATTTATTTATTAGATTGTTTAATGGAATGGCTGGTAAAATGTCGGCTTATTGCCAATTGATTCACACTTTATAAAATGGTAAATAATAAGAATTTCTTTATAGTTGGTCCACATATTTTAATAATTTAGTAAATGTTTATAAATTTATGAATAAAAATTGTTTGCATATTTATTTCTTTATAAATTGGTAAATGATAAAAATTGCATGACATTAGTTTTAATTATATTAGTTTTTAGAATGTTGTAAATATAAAATTATTTTTGTAAATAAACACTCTAATAAATAAATAAATAATGTTTAATATTTTTGTTGTAAATTCTCAAGAACAACAAAAAAATGTATGAATTCATTTTCATATGTTTAGGTTTCGTTTCAATTCTAATCATTTTTTAAAAGCAATAAACATTGCCAAGGAGTGCAGGTTGTTAAAATAATACAGTGACAATGGGGAAATAATTCTTTTGACAATTCAGGTTTTTTTGTGGGTATGAAGGTTCAAGTTTTCCTTTTTTTTCTTTTTTTTGTTTTGCTCCCAATCTCTTGGTCATATTTAAAAATGTTAATGGATAGCATTGTTATTTTAAAAGATTTCTCTTGTATTCGTTTTTTTTTTAATATTTTGAGGAACTTTTGAACTTTACTCAGTGTCATATAAATTAAGCAGATAATTTTGATTTTGAACCAATGCAAACCACTCACCAATTAAGTGATAAATGTTTGCTGCCTTATCTTATAATAAGTGTTAATTTATTTTTCTCGGCCAAACCAAAATGGGTCAATGGGGCAATGAGAATTTTTTTTGCTTCTTGTAGATCTTTCAATTTACAACCTGACCTCTCTATACTGATATCTATGGACTATCAAAAGATAATTGCTACAAGGATATTAGTTGTTATACATGTGTACCACAATTTTATTTTTAACCCAATACAAGTTGTAAGAGCACGTCAACATAGTAGGTTACTGAAAAAGGTTTGTGTAAAGGCATAAAGGAAAGAACTAATGATTGAGTGATTTGTTTTTATGGTTTATTGACTGAAAATAGTTTTTGATTGTAAAATCTTTCTTTGTTTTCTTTGGAGACAGTGATGATTTAGTGATATAAGTCTTACTAGTTAACCCATAGCTGAGGGGGAAATAAGTAGATTCAAATCTTTCCCAAGAGTATTTGCACATAAGTGAATATCATAAAGCCAATTAGAATTGGAACTCAGCTTTTGATTTACATTTATGTGTTTTGTACTTCTTTGAAATTAATAAATGTCTTGCCTGAAAATGTCTCAAAACTTCTGGAATGTACTGCATATAAATGTACATATATAATAATAATAATAATAATAATAATAATAGTAATGGCTACTAATTTTGTAAGTTTGCACATCTCCTTAAGCATCTAGTCAATCTCTCTTAAAAATGTCTGCTCGGGTACATTTATGTAAACCATACTGAGTGGACTTTAGTTACAGTTTCTGAGAGAGAGTCCATAATCTGGCATGAGCAACAGTTTGGACAAGGTGAGTACATTTAAACTCTCAGTCATGTTTACTTGTCACTTCATGCTAGTACCAATGACCTCTGAACAGTTCCATTTACCAAAATTCACACATAAGAATTAAATCAATCTGTGATATGGTTTTTCAAGAATTTCCCAACAATGCTGCATGCTGGGATACTCTCTGCAGGCTGACAACATCAGGAAATTATGTTTCTGACAAAAGTAAAATGAAATTTAAACGTTAGTCTCATGGTTGGAAAACAAATATTCTAACCACTCAATGAAGGGGATTATATATATATATATATATATATATATATATATATATATATATATATATAATCATATGAAGATTGTGTGACAAAGTGGAAAAGCTTTTAAACATGTTACGTTTGGCATCTTCATGCTGGAATGAGAGACAAAACTGTGCATAAGGAAAATGCATTGGGATTTTTGAGGATAAAACAGGCGATAAATTAAATTACCTTATCAATTTTGATAAACAGGGACCAGAAATTATATATATATATATATATATATATATATATATATATATATATATATATATGCCCATTAGTATCTGTTGAATTTAAATATATATATATATATATATATATATATATATTTTTTAGGATATTACATCAAAAACATGTAAAAAATGATACACAATTGCAGTTGTGTTTCGATATGAATCAACAGATCTCATCAGGCGATTGTAAGTGTCTGGTAAGTGTTATGATTTATTCAATAAATCATTCACTTATCCAAAGGGTAAAATGGACAATCATTCACTTATCAATTGATTGATGAGATGCGTTGATTCGCATCAAAACATGACTGCAACTGTGTAGCATTTTTTGACATGTTTTTGATGTAATATCCTAAAATAAAGAACACAGCTCTGCATTGTATTGAGCCATCTTTTAAATTAAATTTTATGAACATTGGAATTGTACTGTATTTGCTCTCATCTTACCTGAATATATATATATATATATATATATTCGGCTCCTGTTTTTGAAACATGAGAACTCTTATGTAGCGAAGGAATCATATTTTTAAAAAAATAATTATAATTTAATCTCTACTTTTGTATGGAGCACTTTTTTTTTTAAAAATAAAAGCAAAAATACTAAATAACTCCGGATTATTTACCTAACATATTCTTTCCTATTTTTCTACATATCTGAACGCACACACACACACACACACACACATATATATATATATATATATATATATATATATATATATATATTTTGGAGATGTGATATTGTAATTATTTACATTGTTTTGATGGTTGTCTTCATCTTTATTATCATGTTCATGATGTTTGTTCACTCCAGCCTTCTTCAGGTGATTGGAATTTTGAACAGAAACCTTTACTTAGTCCACCTGGTAGATTGTTCTAGTTCCACGTGCTATCCCTCTTCTAAATGTCTCAGTTATCTCCCTTTAACTCAACTCTCCAAGTTTTAGCTCACTAGGTATTGAACTCACAATTGTTTGGGTCAAGTTACTGGATCCAGCAAACACTTTTATCCACTAGGTCATGTGTCCTTGATAAAATATAGTTTTGAGGTATGCTATATTTATGGGTTAAAGTGCTCAATATCAGGAATAGAGCATATGTGAATATAAAAGTGGACATTGATGTCAACACCCAGAGGTGACATTCTGATGTATGCTAAATGCAATTATCAGGTCACATATATATATATATACATACATATATGAAGAAAAATATACAGATAAAACAAACAAAAATCTTAATATGCAATTATGCTGTATTAATGTTAAAATAATGTCAACGTCGGACATTTTAGTCTATTTTAGACCATCATCAGGACATATTCATAAAACATAATTAACATTAGACTATATTCAATTCAACATGAAAAAGATGATGGAGTACGACTAATCCAAACAGATAACTGAAATTTTTATATAAGATCAGCATTCCATTTAAATATGATCACGTCATCGTCACGTGGGCGATGTTGTGAAAATTTATTCGAAGATGATTTTGTTTGTTTTTTCTGTATATTTTTCTTCATACTGTCAGATCTTTATCCATATATTTGCTTACATACATATATATAAATCTTTAATGCAACACTGAAAACTTTGCAAGTATTTCAACTTAGAGGTGAGATCAGCTTTGGTCAATTTTGGCCTTAATAAAGTTGTCTTGATAGGGGGCCTGCATGAGAGACACTGTATTCATAGATGCGATTTTTGTGTTTGGTCTCTTAAGAATAGAAAGAGACAGTTTTGATGTTGCTAGGTTTATTTTCTTTATTCATATTGATTATGATGTGTATATTTTTTACTGCTTTATAGAAAGAGAAACAGGAAATAGAATGAAGAATTTTGAGCGTAGAAAGAAATTTAAACAAGAGACTTGAAGAAACAGAAATTTGTTTCTCCAGAAGCATGCCGAGGATACCATGAAATGAATATGTGGGCAATGACAAAGTTTTAGAGAAAATGGAAACAAAATGAAACCTACTTAACATCAGGAAGAGACAGTTAAAATTTCTAGGGCACATAATGAGGAAAGAAGGCTTGGAAAATCTGATGCCCACAAGATGGATTGAAAGCAAGAGGGACAGAGGAAAACAATGCAACCTAAGTAGGTGACACATTGCTTTTCTTTGGCAGAACAAGGTTTAGTAGAAATAACGAAAAGACAAAATTTATTAAGAACTACAAAGGACAGGAAATCGTGAAGGAACATGGCACATAGAAGAAGATTTATTACATAAAAATTTACCTTAAACATTTTCATTGGTATTTACAGAATATTACTTGATATTTTTACAGAAGAGAAAATATTTTGTTTTTACCTAAATTTTCATTAATTACAAGATGCAATTGCAATGGTTTGCTTTTTTTTTTTTGCAGTTATTGGAACAATGCACTGAGAAACTACAATTACCATTTGCAGCTCGTTGTGTGTATCTGAAAGGTGGTATCAAGGTTAACAGTCCTAATGAGATCTCATATGGGGCATCAATCTATGTGTCCATGGGAGAGCCATACAAAGACCCATTTAAAAATACAAAAAGTAAGTAATAAGAAAAAATTCAATATATTTTGAGTCATGAAATCATTGCATCAATTCATAGCACACAAAGCTTAATCTGTCATAATTAACCTTACATTGTATTCAACTTCTAACTTTCTCAATTACTCTCAGCCAGTCCGTGCATGCATGACCCTGGAGCCCGCATCCAAAACATAAACTTTATAATCTCTTCTTTGAGACTGTCTATCTCCTCACTAGGAGGTCACTTCATGTCAACCCTACACATGGCCCCCTTAATGGTCTGGTGTGATAATGAGTGAAAAATCTATTCTGTTATGATTTGGAGTGATACAGAGAATACAAGTGCAACTTCCCATCTCTTTACTAGGGTGGGTGTTTATATAACAACACTTGTTTTTTAGAAAAGATACTGTGTAAAGTTGCCTAAGCCAACCAATGGGCATTTGGTCGAAGGTTAGGATCAAATAAATGGCAACTTTTATTTTGCATGACTGAAATCAATTTTCAATCTGTATTTCAGGGGAGTTACAACATTTGAATTTTTGTGGTTATAAAATTACAATTTATATATGTAGATGCTCGTCTGAATAGCAAAGCATATAATAATGATAATTCCTCATCTCAAAAATACCGATAAAGATTATTAAATCGGAACGAGTCGAAAAGTTGTGATTATAACAACCAAGATGAAGATGCTGGTCTGAATAGCAAAGTATATAATAATGATAATTCCTCATCTCAAAAATACTGATAAAGATTATTAAATCGGTACGAGCCGAAATGTTGTGATTATAACAACCAAGATGAAGATGCTGGTCTGAATAGCAAAGCATATAATAATGATAATTCCTCATCTCAAAAATACTGATAAAGATTATTAAATCGGCATTTAGTCGAAACGTTGTGATTATAACAACCAAGATGAAGATGCTGGTCTGAATAGCAATGTATATAATAATGATAATTCCTCATCTCAAAAAATACTGATAAAGATTATTAAATCGGTAATGAGCCGAAATGTTGTGATTATAACAACCAAGATGAAGATGCTGGTCTGAATAGCAAAGTATATAATAATGATAATTCCTCATCTCAAAAATACTGATAAAGATTATTAAATCGGCATTGCGAGCCGATGTTGTGATTATAACAACCAAGATGAAGATGCTGGTTTGAATAGCAAAGTATATAATAATGATAATTCCTCATCTCAAAATACTGATAAAGATTATTAAATCGGTACGAGCGAAATGTTGTGATTATAACAACCAAGATGAAGATGCTGGTCTGAATAGCAAAGTATATAATAATGATAATTCCTCATCTCAAAAATACTGATAAAGATTATTAAATCGGTATTTGCCGAAATGTTGTGATTATAACAACCAAGATGAAGATGCTGGTTTGAATAGCAAAGTATATAATAATGATAATTCCTCATCTCAAAAATACTGATAAAGATTATTAAATCGGTACGAGCCGAAATGTTGTGATTATAACAACCAAGATGAAGATGCTGGTCTGAATAGCAAAGTATATAATAATGATAATTCCTCATCTCAAAAATACTGATAAAGATTATTAAATCGGCAATGAGCCGAAATGTTGTGATTATAACAACCAAGATGAAGATGCTGGTCTGAATAGCAAAGTATATAATAATGATAATTCCTCATCTCAAAAATACTGATAAAGATTATTAAATCGGTACGAGCCGAAATGTTGTGATTATAACAACCAAGATGAAGATGCTGGTCTGAATAGCAATGTATATAATAATGATAATTCCTCATCTCAAAAAATACTGATAAAGATTATTAAATCGGCACGAGCGAAATGTTGTGATTATAACAACCAAGATGAAGATGCTGGTCTGAATAGCAATGTATATAATAATGATAATTCCTCATCTCAAAAATACCGATAAAGATTATTAAATCGGTATGGGCTGAAATGTTGTGAGTATTACAACCAAGATGAACGTGATGGTTCTAATTGCTGCTTGAGTATTATATTGATTTTAGAAAATCTTTTTTGCAAAAATGCAATAAACCTTATTTCTTTTTCATTTAGGAACTAATACTACCTAAATATTCCCTTTGGGAATTCGTTTTCGGAATGTTATGATTTGGTTATTTGCTTAGCTTGATATCCCCTTTTTGTTGCTTTTAATCAAATGGCATTTTTCTGAGAAAATTTCCTTCATGTTTTTTCTTCTTTGCTCTCTAGAAACTCTCCAAGAACAGAAAAATCTGACATGGACTCTCTCAGGAATTACTCTACCTCCACAAGATAAAAAAAAGAGGAGAAGTCTTCTCTCCAAAAGATTGAAGTAAGAATTACTCTCAATCCATCCCAATAGAATAAGTAAAATTTTACCATATTTGTTGATCAAGAAGGTGTAGGTAGTATAAAGGCATAATTATCTCTCATAGTTTATTCTGATCTGAAATACTACAAACTTTGATGCTGCTCTGACCAATCATATTCATAATATCAGGACAGTAGTTCTATTCTTATAGTTTCTTCGCTTGCACTTCTCACCTGTAGAATTCTCTTCCAGCTCCTTTGCTGCAACCTATGATCTTCAAAAATGTGAATAAAACATCAATTACTGTTTTCTGTCTTCCTGAAACCTGTACTTTTATTGCCCTTTCTCCTTACTAAAGTCTTCTCATTCTCTTTCACGTTCAGTAACCCCTTGCATCTTTGTGACATTGGCACCTTGCTTGGGTTGAATTGATTAAAAAACAAAAAAAACAAACAAACAAAGTAATCCAATGTAATGTCCATAATAACAGGATATAATGCATATTAATCTCTCTCTCTCTGTGCCTCTTTTTGTCTCTTCATTTATATATATATATATATATATATATATATTTTTTTCTAGGGTTGCGTTGAGCTCTTTATTATACGTCCATTTTTTGTATGATAATTTTTTCGGCCTTTTAACATATTTAAAAATTATCATACAAAAAATTGGACGTATAATAAAGGGCTCAACGCAGCCGCCTAGAAAAACAAACATATGGAGCAAGCCAATACAATATAAAAAGGTAAAACACTGTATACTACTGTACACTACCATGGTTTCAACTGCTAGGTTTCTTCAGATGGCTGGGTAACAAGTGACATATATATATATATATATATATACATACAAATATATGTAACCATTATGATAATACAATAGACCTTATTACCCATAATGCACCATTGACCATCAGTAGTCTGAAGATTGCATTGAAGCATGAAACACACACTGTTGCTTATTTGTGTTGACCTCAGTGTCCACTTTAATATTTACATATGCTCTATCACTGATATTGAGCATTTTTACCCATAAATATAGCATAACTTAAAACTATATATATATATATATATATATATATATATAGAGAGAGAGAGAGAGAGAAATAATGTATTTTAATTTATAAATCAGTAAAGAAAAATGTCAGAGAGTGCAAGATTTCTTAAATATTCAGGGTTCGAGATAAAACAAAATACTATTTAAAACAAACTAAGCATGTGTGTATGTGTGTGTGCTTAAAAGTTGCTATTTTGTAGGTGAAGATTGCTTAATATCAGAGAAACAACATTTATAGGTATAGACAATGTGAACATAGGAATTACCACTGCATGGTGACTGTCATTTTCACCTCTCAAGTGATCTTCAGCTCATATCTAAGTATGTTCATCGCTCTCCCTCTCCCTCTCTCTCTCTCTGTTTTCTATTATTCCTCCATTTTTTTTTTTTTTTAATTTTTTGTCTGGATAAATTTAAATTGATATCATTTATACCTTTGGTCTGATAAGACTTACTGATTGAAATAAATCATGATTCATTACCATATTTTTGTGATGTGTTAAGCTTTTCCTTGATGTATGTATATATATATATATATATATATATATATATATATATATATATATAAAACATGGCCACAATGTGGTGACTGTGTTCAGAAAATAAAACATCCCTATAACTATAGATATATAATCACAACCCATACATCCAGTTAAAAGTAAAAATAAAAATAAAATCATCCTTGATAATGGCTAAAAGTATAACCGAAAGCGCTCGGAATTACAGAACATTTGGACAGTTTCTGCATACTCTGTTTCCAGAAAAGAAAACAATTGTTCGAACACAAGAAAAATTAAATTAAAAGCTTAATTGCAACCCCTTGTCTGTTGTCTTTATAATGAAACATGTATAAAAGAGGGATTGTTGCATAAATACACAATATATATAAATATAGTTTCACACAATACACAGTATATATAAAATATAGTTTTAAGATATGCTATATTTATAGGTTAGAGTGGTCAATATCAGGGATAGAACATATGTAAATATAAAAGAGAATGTTGATGTCAACACCCAGAGGCGACAGACTGTTTCATGCTAAATGCAATTGTCATGTCACCTCTGGGTGTTGACTTCAATGTCCACTTTATATATATATATATATATATATATATATATATATATATATATATATATATATATATATATAAAAAAGGTGCAATATAATTTATAAATTCATGAATCATTCATAAAAAAACAAATATAGAGGATAATGATTTAGTTTGCAACGATGTATTCTCGCCATTTAAATCATTAACCTCTATATTTGTTTTTTGTATGAATGATTCATGAATTTATATATATATATATATATATATATATATATTTTGTGTGTGTGTGTGTGTGTGTGTGTGTGTGTGTGTGCCTGTAAATTTATATTAACTAAAAAATGATGTTAAACCCATGGTTAGCCATGAATATAGTTTCATTCACATCCCGTGTGTAATCACAAAAAGAGAAAAAAATGTCAACAAAAAGTTTTATATTCTAAACAAACCAAAGTTTTGGATTGAGTAATCAATCATTTAATTAATATGCTATTGTTTATTTTTTTCTAGGGCTTTGACAACCAAAAAGAAAGTACGAATAATTGTCTATCGAAACGGTTTCAGTACAGAACATGTTGAAATTGTTACTGATCTTTCTAAGATGGATGAGGTCAGTTTCCATTTCGATCTGGATTGATTTTTTTTTTTAAAATTATAATGTAATGAATACCACACTGCCAATGATTCAGTCAGTGAATTCTGACAGGGCAAGATGTATATAAAAGAAATCTTTAGTGGAATAAATTTTAAAATGTACTTTCTCATTTCTTGAATATTTAATACAACTACAAGAATTACAATTCCTAAAGGGATGGTCAGTACTTCCTACAGGAAGTAGTAGAAATGTCCAAGAGGCAGATGAAGTAAAAAGGGCTGGGAGCAGGCAGTGGTTAGCATTAAAACCAACAAATAATTTTTTCTTCCTTTACAAAATCTATATGCTAAAAACCATAGCTGGGTACCAAACCATTAATCTGTTAATCATTGATTAATGAAGTTGGCATTTTTGTTGGTGATTTAATTTTTAAGTTGACTTTGAGAATCATCACAGGTGGGCACTTTTAATGAAAAAGTTAACTTCATAAGTCGTCAATTCCATAACCAAAATTTAACTTTGTTAACCATTCATCAGTTAGTTCTTTAAAAATGTAACGGAAGTTATCGATAAACCGTTAATGTTTAGGTCTGAGTCTGCTTCGGCTGAAGTCTAGTGGCACTGGTAGTGATGCCATAATGACATTCAAAGTTGATTTGGGGCTTGAATCATTGGCAAAAATGTTAACCTTTTAATTACTTGTTCTTGTTTCTTTAACTGAGAATTATTCTTTTTTTTTCTGCAGTTCTTAGTTGCTTGTACAGAAAAACTCAACCTGGGCAGCTTTGCTCGAATTTTGTATGACTGGGAAGGACAGCAGATAACCAATCTGGCTGACAGTAAGTGCTTACAAAAATCTTCTAATAACCTGAAAAATCTTAGAAAACAATTTATAATCAAACTGCACTATACTCTTGTGCCAAAAGTCATGGAGTAGTAGTATGTAAAGGTAATGGAAGCTGGAGCCACCATGCTTTAATGTCATGGAAATGCCTAGACCTATATCAGTTGTTGACATAATCTCTGAAGCCTAAAGTTAGTATTGAGAAGATATTTATAGGTTATTTGGTGAACAATGGAAGATTGTAATGAATTTATAAAGTTTTAATTTAAAGTTTTGTTAAACTTTGTCTAAACGAGAAAATGGAAAGTCCCAAAAAACTTCAAAATAATTTGCTGCGTTTGTGAGGAGTAGTTAAAAAATAAAAATTAGCAAAATAAAGTTAAATACCTCTTGGGTGAAGAGATGAGCACAGCTGTTTCAGCCATCAAAGATAACAGCCTGTGCTAGAATTCCAATCCCTGAGAGCAATTCAATTCACACAGATTGAAATGTTTAACCTGCTAACCTCAAGTCACTTCCTGCTTAAACAGACCTTTTTATTGGCATTTTCTTCTTTTAGTCTCCTTACTTGGAACTGAGGAATTTCCTCCATATTTATACAGCCAGGTCAATCATTTTAAAATTGTCTATGCTTTTTCACTCCATTAGCAAATGGAACAAATAATTGATGATGAGTCAGCATGTATTTGAGTTAGACTGCACATGGCAAGGCAATATGAATTATTGGAGTTCAAATGGAGCATGACAGTGAGTACTGGACAGGCCATTCTATTTCTGAAAATGTGGGGTCATTTGACATCCTTTGATCTATGGTGTCACATACACATTTTTTTTGTTTAGTCATTTCACTCCAAGCAAGGTGGAAATGCCATGAGTATGAAGAGAGTTACAGGAGTAAAATTGAGATAAAGGACTGAGCATAAGGAGGATTGAGGAAAGGACAAAAGATGAATGGGATTCAAGAAGATAGAAGTAGCAACTCTTAAATGAAACTTCCGGAATATAACTTCAATGAAACACAAAACACCACCTCTCATAATCAAGTTCACATAAATATGTATATGCATTCAATTGTGAAAGCAAAATAATATATCAAATTTTTATTACTTCAAATTTCCCAAGAAATTAAATGACCCATGTGGAGTCGATATGTCGTTAAAAAAATCAATTAATAAATCAACTTCAAAGCTCCCAAGAAAATTAAATTTCGTCATTAAATGACCCATGAATGGGTTGATATAAATCAATCAATTAATCAATCAAAAATTATCTGGCTCAAGAACTTGTTATAATTTTCTGCATCTTGATCCCATCATCAATTTTTGAAGCACCTGTAATTTTCCTGTGTATAATGCTAGCCCCAAAACATTACTCCACCTGTCTTCTATTATTATTTACTAAGCCTAGTTTGGCTTGAGGCCAGAGAAATAGGAGGTCTAATAATGATTGAACATGTTACTTAGTAGTAGGAATGGTAATCTTTATAGAATATGTTACTGTGCAAACAAAAAAAACTAAGAACCACCTGGAAAGACAAAAATAGTTGTCAATTTCAAATATTTTTATTTGTACCTCTTTACTTTTTAAAATAACGACTAGCATTCATATTTATGACTAGCAGCATGGCCCAGCGTTGCCCGTGCTTGATTCAAAAATCGTACAACTCATACAGCAATCGCTATCAGTTGACTTATAATATTTTTGCCCTTCCTTGCCTTATAAGGAGTGCACTTTGCCGTGCTGATGTTGCTACATGCCTTACTTCTTGCCTATCTCACACTGCAAATTTTTTCTAAGCTCTATACTAAACATTAAATCAGTTATGAAAAAAGGACTAAACAAAATGAACACAAAACAATCAGCTTTAAAAAAGGACTCACAACTGGAAGAACCAAATGAAAAAAGAATGCTAACAACAAATACTTTTTCACACCCAACCCAGTTCTGCGGAATCAGAATCAACGTTGAGTTTAAGCAAGCGAATGAGCCAATTGGAGTAAAGTGCCATGCAGATTTAAATTTTTTCCACTAGTGATGAATGCAGCTATCGATTTTTTTGCATGCTAGTTAACATTCGTGTTAGTCAGCTGTTGGCTCTCATGCTGGCCAATAGAATCTCCCTCCTATTCGTGGCAGCCAGCTATAGGCTCTCACTCTGGCCAGTACAAAATGGCCGCAAACTACATGAAAACTGCTGTAGAAGCATGAAAAAATCAATTATTTCCACTATCGATAGGAGTTGGGAAATGCAAAGTTGGTCTTGGCCTTCCCCCTAACTTGGAGCATGTGCATGTAAATTTTGGTGCAAATCCGTCGAAGATTGCAGCCGTGCATTCGTTACACACACACATATATCCTGCCTTTTATAGATAGAGATTGTTATTGCTCAAATATTTAACAATGCGAAAGGGGAATTTCTATGGATATTTTATTGTTGTAAAATTCACCATGAGCTTATTCAGTCATTAACTGAAGAATTAAGATCCATCAGAAAATTCAAATTGGAAAACTCTGAAAGTTTCACAAGTTAAAACTAGTTTCATTAGTCTGTGATGATCTGAGCATCTGTCATGAAGAGATAATTGTAGAATAACAATAATAAACAGCACTTACCGGTGTAAGGGTCCCAGCTAGCGTCCAGCTGGCAGACAAAAATAAAGCAGGTTGTAACTCAATACAAACCCTGCAAACTAACTGATGAATCAAGCTAGTATTTATACAGAAATACCTCCACTCATGTACCAGCAGCCCAAGCAATGGACTATCTCACTTTAGCACAATGAGATGCTCCATGGCACCATAAATAGCTCTCTTAAAGTTGAGTTATTATTCACTCAGCTTGTTCCACAACTGAGTGTTTATCTCGACCACGTGATTTTTCTACAATAATAAACGTTTATAATCTTGCAAATCAATACAACTAAATACAAGTTTGATTATGTGATCCATAAATATAGCCTTGTGCCATATTTCCTGGGAATACCAGGTGCTATAATCTTGGCTGTATGGGTGGTGTAATGGATAATAGCTCAGAATTATTAATCAGAGAACTGAGTTCCAATTCTCGTTGGGTTTGTTATATTCACTTACATGCAAATACCCTTAGGAAAAGTATGAATCCATCTCTTCTCCCCCCCCCAGCTATGGATTAATTTGTAAGTCTTGTATCACTAAAACTATTATTATCACAAAAAAAAATTCTTATAATTTAAAATATATTTTCTGGTTTTAAATAACCTGCAAAGAGTTGATAAGCTGTAGAAAATGAATCAATCAAAAAACAATTAATATGCCACCAAATTTATGAACCAAAACTTTAATCCACTAGATTATTGTTTCATGGGGCAATCCTGAGTGTAAAACTTGGAATCTTAAACCTAACCTGCCTGCTGATGAGACTGCTGCTGCTTCTTGTCACACTTGACTGCACTCACCAAGGCTTCTCTTTTAAGCTACTGCTACCCTTGAGTCTAGCTCTCATTTCTTTTTTTTTAATGTCTGCCATTATTTACATTATTTGAACTGTTGTCCTCAACTTTATTGCCATATTCACAACGTTTCAGCTAATGTACACTCTGACCTTCTTCATACGACTACGCCTACAATACGTCATATCTATCACAACCTGGAATATCATCACCCTGGTCACAAATGGTGAGACCAACCTTCTCTCTCATAAGCTCTATGCCTACCATATCACCCTCACTGATATCTGCTATCATTGGCACACAGTGGTGAGTGAACTGCCAGCAATCATGTCTTCCTCTAGATCGAACAATCTGATCATATAATGTAAATAAAGAAGCTCAGTCTGTCTAAAAACCAAGATGATAACTATTTACATTATTCAGACTGTTGTCCTCATCTTTATTGTCATGTTCACAACATTTTGGCCATTGTATGCTTCGGCCTACTTCAAGTGATTGGAATTTTTAACTAAAACCTTTATTTCTAGTTCCACGTGCCATGCCTCTTCCAGATGTCCTCAAGGACACATACCCCAGTGGATAAAAGCATTGGTTGGATCCAATGACTTGACCCAAAGAGTTGTGTGTTCAATACCAGGCTACTGCCGTGGTGAACAAAAACTTGGGGAGGGAGATAACTGAGATGTCTGGAAGAGGCATGTCACATAGAACTAGAATAACTTACCTCAGTGGATGAAATAAAGGGTTCAGTTCAAAACTCTAATCACCTGAAGAAGGCTGTTATGTACAATGGGCTGAAACATCATGAATATAGCAACAAAGATGAGGATAAAAATCCGAACAATGTAAATAACTACAATACCTCATCTCAGAAATATAGACAGAATGTCTGCCACATATTTTGTTTTGCTTCACTGGTATTACAATGTTATTTATAACTTATATTTCAGCTCCTCTTTTAGATGACTGCCTCCAGCAAGCAGGCAATCTGGTGTTGGGTCCACTTTGGGTGTCTACAGGAGAATTCTTCCGTCCATCAGGAACAGTGGATTTTATAACTGGCTTGAAGAAACTAATAGTAAAGAAACTAAAGGAAACACAGTTATATTACAATGAAGTGAGTCATTCTTTTCCCTGAAATAATGTGTCGTAGGAGATATATGCTTTTGTTTTTGCTCTTTCAGATATAGAACATAAATGTAGTGACTGATTCAAGTATTGCCAATGCTTTAGAGTTGATATATTGAATGTGAAAACAGGTGTGGAAAGTGAATTCGGCATGCCAAGTTCAATTCTTGCTTGATTTTGTTGTATTCATTTCACACTAATGCCCATCGGAAAAGGCATGAATGCATCTCTCTCCACCTCTGCGTTAAATAGTAAGGCAGACCAAGTTTTCTTGTTTTGAGGTGGCAACCAGTTTAAGAGAAGGAATTCTTTGAATTTATAGTTATAGAATTTAAAATGAACTGTTGATTTACTCATGCCAAGAAGATTAATGAAGGATGATAATGACGAGGAAACACAGAGTTTTAACAAAACAAGATAAGGAAATTATTTACAAATTTACATACTTGCAGTAGTGTCAGTAGCCCATTTCAGGAAAATAAATTGTAATTCTTAAAGTCCGTAGGTTCAACATATTATCATGAAGAGGAAATGTTCATCCAACAGATTAAATAAATAATATTCAAAAATGCTTAAGATCGAGGTAAGAGAGTTCATTGCACACCAAAGGGATATATGGTTTGCATACGTTCAAAAGTAGACAAAGAAAGATAGTCTTAGATCATTGAGAGAAAATTCTTTGAAATGCTGCATGCTGGTTAGAGGCTGATAGTATAATTGGCAGGTAATTTTACATTAGTGAGTACTTCAATGCTCGTTGCAAAAAACTGAAACAAAAGCTTTCACATAACTTCAAGCACTCTTCTCATTAATTTAATTTTTCTCCTCATTTTATATAAAAAAGAATTTCTTTCTGTCCTTCTTCTTGGCTCACCATCTAATTTCTGTGAAGGAAAGATTTTCTTTGGTCCAAAGAAAACATAGGCTAGTGAATTTTTTCCTTCTTGGCTCACCAGTTAATTTCTATGAAAGGCAAATCTACTTCCTGCTCTTCCCTAATACTGTGACAATAGACTGCTTCTACTTATAAATATAGCAAGTAGCCACATTAGAGTAGGATTTTGAGTAGTATTTGATTTACTCAAGTTATTCCATTCTATGTATGAGTATTTAATAAAACTCTTCTTTGTTTCCTCTACTTAATCTTTAGTTCCTTCGATACTCTCTCTAACTACAGTCTTCCTAATTCTTGGCTATTTTGAATAAAGAAAATATTACTACACTTTCTTTCTTCTTCCTCAGCATTTGAAGGGAGTGGGAGAAGGGAGTTATTATTATTTTGTACTCAATACGAATTCAATACCAGCCTCAAGATAGATGGACACCATAAAGATAGATGGGTACCATAAAGCTATCTTGTTAAGACACAACACTACTGCTACAGCTGCAAGACATGTGGTATCCTAGGGACTGGCATTACAGAATCACAAAGAACTTGTTGCAAAGTCTCATATGTACTACATTATATTGTCGTCTCATATTATTTGAACCTGTTCTTCTTCTGCCTCTTTTTCTAATTAATAAGAATTTAGTCAAATCCACTTAACCATGCCTGTTTCTTCAACAAATACAATGATTTATTATTGTTTCTCTTTTAGATAATTGTCTTTTTGTTTTTTTATTGTTGCTTTTTAGCTGGTTGCTGCTAAAATGGGAGATAAATCAAGTGTGTCTCGGGCAGAAGTTTTGTCCATGAAAGAAAATGAATTGAACCAAGTAATTACAAAGGTAAACTAAAATTTTCTAATGTTTCAGATGTTATTCTTGCCATCAGTTTTGGTATACACCTGATTTACTTAGATTAATCTCCACTTTTTGATTCTAAAGATCACAATCTCTTGGCTGTAGTATCCTTTGGCCATTTTCATCTGATTGCCATATTTCGGATTAGAACAATAAAGATGGTGACACTAGGCTGAGTAAATCTGTATAATAAGAATCCAGGTGAAAAGTATAATTTTTGTCTCTCTTATGTTTTCCCTTCTTTTCTATTTTAGGATTTTCTTTCATCAATATGAGGAATTTCAGTAAAGATGATTGTGTTTGAGAAGAACTGATCAGGATATTTTCAACAAGAACAATCTGTTCATATCTATCTATCTATCTATCTATCTATCTATCTATCTATCTATCTCAGTCTGTTTGTATCTATCTATCTCAGTCTGTTCATATTTATCTATCTATCTCAGTCTGTTCATATTTATCTATCTCAGTCTGTTTGTATCTATCTATCTATCTATCTATCTATCTATCTATCTATCTATCTATCTATCTATCTCTCCCTCTCAGTCTGTTCATATCTATCTATCTATCTATCTATCTATCTATCTATCTATCTATCTATCTGTCTTCTTTTGTTTATCTCTCCTTATACTAGTCTGTTCTTGTCTCTCCGTCTTTATTTATATCTATATATCTGTGTTTGTGTGTAGTAATGCATTAGGATTGTATCTCATTGTTAACTTCCGGTTGATTTAATCGCTTATGCATCAGTCTGAATCTAATAATAAATGCTAAAAATCCTTATAAGTACGTAAAACCTATGGATAAATAATTAGATATGATGACCACATTTAGAGATTAAATTAAATTTGGTAACATGACATTTTGTTGGATGTCTTCATTACAGTCGTGACCGAATTTGATTCTTGCATAACATGTTGGCATGAAGATATTTAACATTAGAATTCAGGAAATCCAGTCTCTAGTCCAAACTTAACTTTTATATCAAGAATAAACAAAATTTCATATTCAGGGAATATGAAAATTTGTTTTTTACCAAGTTTAGATGTGTCATAAAAATCTTGTTCAACCAATAATTCTTGTAAAAATATTTACATAAATATATCTAGTATTTTTTTTTAAATAATTTATTGATCAAAGCCTGTAGTCAAATCAGACCAAAAATGGAGTATTGCTGCTGTCAACAAAATTCACTTATTTCCCCTTTCTAAACTTATGGTTCCAAGAAGCAGTAACAGCAGCAGCAAGCTTGTCTGCCTTCTTTCTAATGTGCATTTGTCCAATGAACCAAATATAAGCTGGTTAAAATTTGTCTTTCTCACTTCAGTTTTTGATGCCTGAGGGATCTTTGCCATTTTAACTTTGGATCTCTGGAGTGTCTATAGCACTTCAACTTCTGTGGATTGTAATTAATTTCTACTGATCAGCTGCAATGTCTGGATCAGGGGTCTAGAGCTCATGAGCATAAATCTAGCCTCATTTGCATACAAATTTCCTCCAACCAGCATAAATAAGCAATCTGGAGGTCATGACCATAAAGAATCCTCGCTTTCCAAACCTTGACAAAGTTCAAAAACATTTACATGTCCTTGATATTATTTTCAGCTCTACAACCCCTGAAAGATGAAAATGAAATATCACAAGTTTATTACTACTCTATTTCTATTTCCATGGCAAATATTCAGATGAGCTACATTCTCTAATTCCACCAGTTCAGACCTTTACATCTAGAGCACAACATTCAACCTAAGGTTGAATCAGGCACATTCTCTTTGTATTCCATTGATAAAGAGGAAGATCCACTTGGATAGCTTCTTCTCAAGAACTGCTACTTAGTGGAAAAGACTCCAGGGAGGATGCTTCCCTAATTACAATATTAACCTCTTCAAGACTGAAGTCTTGGATCAAACATTATCTGTCCTACATATCCTCATAATCTGCACATCTAAACTCTTTCTTACACACACAGTAAATTCTACTTTGACTGGCTCTTGAGCCTTAAATTGGATGAAAATTTAGTCAAAGAAAAAGCTTCTCTTAATGAGAATATTGGGCCTGTTTTGATTTGGCTAAAATGTTAATGTTTCGTATTAAATCAGTTATTGAGAACAGCAGAGAATTTTTATCAGTCAGTCGCCATCTCATTTTGTTTGTAGAAAATCTTACTGCTGAAAATGCTTCTTCATGTCTGTCTGCTGTTTCACAATGGCATATATAATTCGGATCAAATGTTCTATGTTCTATAAAATGTGTAGGCGGCATGACAACAACTTGGAACATGAAATTGGTGACTTGATTCAAAATTCCAGCCATGTTTGTTGTGTTCACTTTCACACAAATGCCCTTCAAAAAGGTATGGATCCATCTCTTCTCTTCACAGCTAGAGATTAAATAGCGACTATCCATAGAAACTAGTCAACAAGAAGGAAAACTCTTAATTCAAAACTGGTTAAGCTGACAGCTCCACCCTATAAAAATTTACTCCAGGAACTTAAGCAGTGACATTTAGCTGGGTGTGGCTGTTGGGAATTTTTGATATATATATATATATATATATATATATATATATATATATATATATATATATGTGTGTGTGTGTATATATATATATATATATATATATGTGTTTACTGATTAATAGTTACCAGTAATGATTACTAGGAAGTAATAGACCAGATCTAATCATACAATCTGCCTCTCTTGATACCTATGTTATTATGGGATGGCCATCCCTGATCTAAAAAAATCTTTCTGTATGTGGATTTGGATTTTTATTGTCTGTGATATTTTGCTATACTAGAGTTATCTCCCATTTATTGATATTGCCAGTGCAAAAGAAAGATGTTTATGAAAGCTGGGAAGTGAAAAGACTGTACAGACTATAACAGTACTAACTGAAAATATATTTATCTTGAATAAACTGGTTTTTAAGAAAAGATCCAAATATGATAAATCTACTTTTCATCAAGCCTTTCAATTCTAAACCATAATTTTCTGTCTCAATTATTGGTAAGTAGTTTTAAGAACTTTAGAAGGATGGGCTTGTTGTGTTTCCAAAACTCTTTTCATCTTTCCTGAATTAAATCAAATAAGTTTGTGGAGTGAAGACGTAAATAAAGACCAAGACAATCAATCATCAAATGACAAAAAAATAGTTTCAGATTTGGAGGATCTATGCATCCTTCCAGTTAATAAACTAATGCATTGAAAATAAATATTTAACATGTTTCAACCAATGGGTTGCATTCTCTTCAAAAATAAAAAAATCTGTTTTAGGATCCCTTTCAATAGTATTAAGTAACATCTCTAGACAGACAAAACCAGTAAGGAGAAGCAGTGGCAACATGTGACAACAGATTCACCACAGCTTAACAGACATTTTCTTATTTGCTTCCTCACCGAGTTACGTGACATTTATACTCTTCCTCACCAAGCTGCATGACACTTACCATCATCCACAACAAGCTATGTGATGTTTACACTATATGACATGTACACTCTTTCTCACTGATTTACATGACATTTACACTCTTCCTCACTAAATGACAAATCCATTCTTCCTCACCAAGCTACATGACACTTACACTTTCCTCCTCACTTTCTCCCTTGCCCCTTTTTCTCGCAAACAAGGAACTTTAATGCGTCTACACACTGAGAAAAATTTAGTCGTAAAAACACAAAAATAAAAATATTTTATATTTTTATATTTAAAAACCATTGTTGACTTTTTCGTTGTTGTGGGTTGATTCAAATTCACAACAAGTTTATTTGTGGCTAATAATGATTCTCTATTTTGTAGTCAACTGAAGAAATTTCAAGCATGAAAGAAACACTGGAGTTTCTCAGGAGCAAACTGCACAATTTGGATGAGCAAATTAATGAAGAATTGGTTTGTAAAAGTCTTTTTCTTTTAACTTTGGAATTTCATTAAATGCATTAATAGGTTTTGATTGAGTCAATCTTTATGGCTTTTTTTAGATTGTAAGAAATTTTTTTGAGATATCAATAGTTTAGTGATATAACCACAGTACAGAAACTGTATTGTTTTACTTCCCTTTGTTTGCCCCATTTTTAGTTTGGATACCTTTTAGATTGGTCACCATTTTGACCATTTCTGGTCAGCTGTTAGTATGTCATTGGAACATTAACAATAAAAGCATGAGCACGCGGTGAGACTAGCATGCTAATGATTTCCCTATAACAAGGTGCCCAATTGATAAATTTTATGTGTAGGTTTTATTGGATTTTACAATCTTTCCTAGGTGAATTGCTTACAGATTTTCTATTTGCCTTCATTTGCATACATTTATTTATTTTCCCAGAGCCAGGGATCAGACTACGTGATGCAGCATATTCAGAAATTGAAGGACAATCATCGTCTCATTGGAAGAAAAGGTCTGCGCTTGAAGGTAAAATTTTTCTTTCTTTTCTGATTTCAAGTCCAAGTCAAATGATGACTTTGTAACGGAAGAGAGTTAAGGAAGAACAATCTATTCCGCCATTTGTCTCCCCCCCCATTACAGGCATTATTATATCCATGATATAATAACACTGTACTTCACAGACAGAATGGAATGGCTGAAAGGAAAAGGAATGACAAACATGCCTTGTTCTCAGAGAGACTTTATGCTACTAAGATATACACAAAACTATATCTACATATATGCACATATACCACACAGAGAATAATATATCAGATACATCAACACAGCAAAGCAGTGTGTAAGGAGAAACAAAAAGGAATGGTTTTTACATATAATATGGAGATACTCCTGTGTCTGGAGAAGTCATGTCAAACAGGCCAGATTCATCTATAATGTTCCAGGCAAAGAAATATTCTACAAATACGAAACAGTGAGTCTTCAGTTTTTCTAAATTGAGGACTGCGAGCTGGAGTTTCATTCTATTCCTAAAGGAAAAGGCACCATGGACTTGTAGGTTGCTGAGGAAGCAGACTTAGTCTCTACCCAGGCCAAGATATCTATATATAATTGAACACATTTTAAAAACAACAAATTTAGTTGCTCACTGTAATGAGAATGACAACAATTTTGACATATAAAATGCTACTCTAATTAAAAGACAAAAATGTTTCACTAAAACAAAAATATTTAGAAATCATTAAGATTAATCGCTCGTAAATTTTTGTCCAGGTTTTCACAACATTTCATCATACTTGATAAATCTTCTGCTATTACAATCTAATTTATTGTAATCTAATTATGTACAATAATGGATCCTATACACTAAGTGAAAAATTCAACAAGAAAAATTGAAAATAAATATACTGTAGCTAAATATACACACGTCATAATAGATTATTTCAAATTAAATAAATAAACAATGTTTTGTGGCAATTTTTAACATCAACTTGAGATTTTTCTTACTAAAATGTTGAATAATTTAACAAATTCAACATTATGGATAGAAATAGTGAATTTTATATTTTTTTTTTTTTGAGACTTAGCATGAGCAAAATAAATTCACGGATTTGGACAAAAAAGACCCCAAAATGATGTCAAAATCTACAAAAGATTTTTATCCTTTAATAATAGTCAGTTGTGCTTAGCTTTTAATTTGTAATGTATGAAAATGTAGGTAGAAAAAAGCAAATGTTGATAAGATAGTGAGGATCACAAAGCACTGCCCAGTGACCCCCAATCAAGATTGCATCCTGGTTGGTAGGTGGGGGGGGCAATATGTGCCGGCCCTTGCTGTGGGTATGTTTATAATAGGTTGCAGAATAATTTGATGAAATTAGATTTAGAAAAAAGAATGATTTCCATTTATGATAGAAATCTTTTTCTTCCTCCATCTCATAAAAATATTATGGACAATAGATGTGTTGTCACAATGTTTTGAAATGTATGAATATCTTTCAAAAGTAGACATTTTAGTTTTATGAATCAAGATTTTTGTTCAAAAAGCTCGCCAGCCATTATATAACATTTCCTATTAATTTTGTCAATTCATTTTTCTCTCTATTTCAAATTCACACATTTTAACATTTTTCTAACCAAGTCTGTCAATGCTGACAATAGATATAGCAGCTATTTTGCCACCACCAAGTGAGTAGGTCAGAAGAATGCATTGCACATATATTGTGGCATACCAGTTAAAGACCATAACTAAGATCGCTGACAAAGGGACAGTGTACAGGTAGAAATGCATTCATGCCTTTACAAATATTGCATTTAATGCTTGTTTTTGGATTGTTGGAAAATAAGATGCAGATGAAATATTCTTTCTGTAGTAGTGGGGAGACCTGTCCACACCCAAAAATCAAAAAATGAAATAGCCTTATATACAAGTGTATATATGTACACCCCCACACACATAATGGTAATAATAATGGTAATATTAGCTGTTTCGCCATAAGAAAACATTTAGAATTCATTGACCAAGCAGCTACTACTGCTTTTTGCTGAAATTTATAAAATCTTTCACTTAAAACAACTTTTCAGGAAAATAGGTTTCTCAAGTCCAGTAGCTGTTATCACTCTTTCCAGTATTGATGGGGATATTTCCTTCCTAACCTTTTGTTTGCAGAAGTGTGGAATGTCAACATTTGGAATTCAATGACCGTGAAGTCAGTACTGCTTCTGGTTTAAATTTATGAAATCTTTCTCTTAAAACAACTTTTTAGGAAAATAGCTTTCTCAAGTCCAGCAGCTGTTATCACTCTTTCCAGTATTGGTTGGGGGTATTTCCTTTCTAACCTTTTGTCATTATTTTCTCTTTTAGTTACAAGTGACATCCCTTTTAGTTGTTGCTGCTGTTGGAAGTTCTCAAGTGATGTGGTTTCTGTTATTTGGTATAGGTCTTTGTTTGTGATTCAGTAGCACCAGTGTTGGAAGAAGAATGGTTTGACCCTCAAGCTTCACTCACTCAAAGCTTTTTTTTATCATTGATCTTAGGAAGCAGTTGTATACAGTTGAAAGGTTAGATATTTCCAAATTGGTTTAGCACCAAGCATGACATCCATATGAAAGTCTCAATCTTGCAGAACATGACTTGAGTTTTCAAGTTGATGTTTTGATTTAGTAGCAATTGGTGTAGAGTGAAACTACCTATGGCATAGCCTTTTTTATGTTTGATTTCCTTTTCTATGCTTAATTTGTTTATATATAAACTATATATCCATATATTTGCTTATATATATATATATATATATATATATATATATATATATATATATATATATATATATAAATATATGGATATAGATCCGACAGTCTTTTTCATGTTGAATTGAATATAGTCTAATGTTAATTATGTTTTAAGAATATGTCCTGAAGATTGTCTATTAGACCAAAACGTCCGATGTTGACATTATATTAACATTAATACAGCATAATTGCATATTAGGATTTTTGTTTGTTTTTTCCGTATATTTTTCTTCATATATATATATATATATATATATAGAGAGAGAGAGAGAGGGAGAGAGAGAGAGAGAGAGTTGGTTACAATCATATCCCTTTGAAACACTGGTTCTCATATGATCTCTGAAGTTAAGCAACATTGAGCCTGGTCAGTACATAGATGGGTGACCACTTACGAATACCAGGTGCTATAAATTTGGATGTGCATGTGATGTAATGGATAATGGCTTGGAATTAGAGATTGGAGATCTGAGTTTGTTATATTCATTTAGATGAAAAAGTATGAATCCATCTTGTCTCCTCCCCCACAGCTATAGGTTAATTAGAAGTATTTGTGTCAGTTAATCATTATTACCTTTAAAAAAGTTCTTATATTTTAAAAATATTTTCTGGCTTTAAATACCCTATAAAAGGTTGATGAACCATAAAAAAAAAATTAATAAGTAATGTTCAATTTTCTTTTCAGGTGTATGAAAATGGTTCAACTAAATCTGCAAAGATCTTTTATTTCAATTTGAGAGAAGCATTGAAAGGAACTGAAGGAGACTACATTAAACTAAAACAGAGAGTAAGTATATAGAAGTTTTTAAACATTTCAAATCAAGCAAGGCAATAATGCCACTAAGACACAAGTGGTTACTGAGAATGAAAAAAAGTGTAAAAATGCTAGTGAGGAGAGAGAAAGGACAATAGAAAATAGGATTCCAAAAGACAAAACATGTTGATTGACATTGCATTTAATTTTAAGAAGTGGGGGGGGTGAAGAAAAAATTAGAATACTACTTATGATTACATATAGCAATTTCAATAGCAAAATGAAGAGCCCTAGCTACCAATCTACTGGGTAGTAAGAAAAGTAACTTCCCATTTTAAAATTTGTTTATTAACTATAATTTTTACAAGAAATGGATATGAGAGGAAAGCATTTAACAAGAGATTTTATTTAAGATTCAATATGGACATCAGATTTTTTTTTTTTAAGCGTTTCACCCCAAGCAAGGCGGGAAGCCATTAGGACACAAGGGGTTACAGAAGATTTGGAGCAAGATCAGATAGGAGTGATAGAGGAAAGGATGAGAAGAAGGATAGTGGATAGATCAAGGCAACTGGAGATGTCGATTGACATTACATTTGAATAGTTGGAGATTATAGCTCTCAGGGAAACTGGAATAGGGAAGGGAGTTCCACAGGTAAGAGGTGCAAGATATGAAGCTATTGAAGTAGAAGAGACGGCTACATTTAATAGTTTTGTCAGTGAAAGGGTGAGAGTGGGATGCCAGCCTCGTAGGGTGCTTGAATTCATGAAATCAGGGAACCAGCGAATGCAGCTCCTTGGAGCAATTGCCATGAAACTATTTGTAAAAAAGACAGAGAGAGGCGATGGCGCATCTGTGAGAGAGCGACTGTAGATGAAATGCCAGAACAGGGCTAATTATATTGCATATCTGCCTCTGGATTTCAAGCTGCCCAGGAATCGTGTCAACTGATTTCACCAGGAACTCTTGTGGTATGGAAGACATAACTTCTTGTATTCACTCTCCAAGTTCTTCCAAAGTCTTGGTTTGGTATAATAGACTTGATCCTTTAACCAACCCCCACTCACAAAAAAGTCACAGGTTGTTAAGTCAGGACTCCTGTCTGGCCACTCATATATAAAATAGGGAGTTACATTTCAATCACCCTGTAGTACTACTCATCAGAACAATTGCCATGACAATATTTATAGAAAATGTACATTATGGTGGTGGTAATGTGACTTAAGCTGAGATTGCAATTTCTTTTTTGGATTTTGTCAAGAATCTCTAGATATATAGCATAAGCACTAGTCCACGTGCGGCAAAATGCATGGGCAAATGGTAGACTGATAAATGTCTGAGATGAATTAAATGCATGGGCGAATGGTAGACTGATAAATGTCTGAGATGAATTCTAGCAAGAAGGATGTGTCTCATATGACACAGTGAACCAACTTCAGACCTAAAAATTGCTTCAATATAATCATTTTGTACCTGAAAACAAGGAGGTTATTCCTTGTCATTCACACAATTTTTGGCAATTTTTGTTTCTCAGAAGCAAATATTATGTGAAGAAAAAAAAGCTGAATGTTCTCTTGATTGCTAGATACAGTGGAACTTTGGTTATTGGCCATAATCTATTTCAGAAAGTCATCCAAATTCAAACCATGAATCCAAAGAAAGTTCTGAGTGTGTCTTTGGGGAAGTCCCCAAAGACACTCTCAGAACTTTCTTTGGACTCATGGTGGCTTATTTAGCAGGGAAACTAAATAAAAAACAAAGACAAAAATTTATTTAAAACAAAAAAATTTTCTGACTAAAACTAGGGGAGATGATCACTTAGCAAACGCAGAAATGTGATGCTTTGTGTCGGAACTTTTGCCTTAGGAAATAAAACGGTTGGATGGAATAAAATGGATGCTTGGAATAAAAGGGGATGTTGACATTTTTTTAATAACTTTTTTTTTGAATTTTCAATAATGACACACTGTGTCCAAAAATGTTTGAAGCCTAAAGAAGAAATTTCCTGAATAAAAGTGCTGATTGGAATAAAGGATGGTCTATGTAGATTTTTCTCCAAAACAGAACAATTTAAAACTCTATGTCTATTTAAAACTCCAGTGTTGCCCATGTTAATTCAGTTTATTTTAAAAGTAGTGCCAAATGTTACAAATAGTGATGTTTAAAATTTGGTAGGGCTGGGAGTTTCAACAAGGGCTCTAAGTGTTACAAGCAGCGAAATTCAGAATTTAGTTGAAACAGGCTTTTAAAAATGCCCCTAACATCAGAAAAATGAAATTAAAAATTGAGAAGTGATAGGATTTTAAAAGTTACCCTAAACATCACAAGTAGCCAAATTCAAAATTTTACTTGTCTTGGGTTTTCAAAAATAGCTCCAATTGTCACAATTTTTTTTAATCAATTCACCCCACTAAGATGCAAGGGGCTACTGGGAGTGAAACAGAATGAGAAAACTTTAGAAAAAAACAGAAAGGGTAAACCTATACTCCTGTTCAAAAGACTGAGGAGGAGTGTGAACCAGACGAAAGGCAAACCTGTTTATTCCTATTGAAAAAAAGAATGAATAAATGAATAGTAAACATAATTTTAGAGTTTAGGTGGAGACATTAGAAGTATAGAATTGAATTTGACTTTAGAAAGAACCAGAAATTCAATCCGAAGCAGAAAACAAGAGATGAACCACTTCTTCTGTTCAAAAGGCCAAGGAGGACTAAGAACGCAACAATAGGTGAACCTATCTACCCCTTTGTTGAAAGAATAGTGAAATTCAAAATGTAAATTATCTTAGGTATTCAGAAGTTGTTCGATCTGATAATCCTAGTCATTTTCCAAGCTTTTCTTTAGCAGTTTAAGTCAATGGATTTGTTATTTCAGGATAAATTCTGTTTTATAATTCTGAACAATAACTTTATATATTCTTGGATGCCTGAGCCACTTTGCAAGTTGTTATTACCACAATGTTTGTATGTTACAAGTATTTTCCAGGCAGTTATGGCCGCATCACATTGACTTACTGCCATATCACATGGAAAAATTGGTTCTCACATATCACATATTATGGCCATCTCACATTGAAACACTGGTTCTCACATATCTTATATCATGGCCATTTCACAATAAAACACTGCTTCTCACATATATATCATGGCCATATCACATTGAAATACTGGTTCTCACATATCTTATATCATGGCCATTTCACAATAAAACACTGGTTCTCACATATTATATATCATGGCCATATCACATTGAAATACTGGTTCTCACATATTATATATCATGGCCATATCACATTGAAATACTGGTTCTCACATATTATATATCATGGCCATCTCACATTGAAACACTGGTTCTCATACAATCATCAAAGTTAAGTAATGTCAAGTGTGGTCAGTAGCTAGATTGGTGCTCTAAGCTTGTATATATGAGTGCTGTAAAGGATAACAGCTCAGAATTTGAAATTGGAGAGCCAAGTTCCAATTTGAGTTAGGTTTATTATATTAATTTATGCACAAATATCCTTGGGAAAGGTATGAATCACCATCTTCTCCCTCTAGCTATGGGTTAATTAGCAGGGCTTATTTCAGTAAAATTCATATTATCTCTAAAACATTCTTACAATCTAAAAATGTTTTCTGGCTTTAAATAACCTGCAAAAAGTTGATAAGCTGTAAAAAATAAATCAATCACTCAATCCAGGCACTTAGTTAATAAATTACCTTGTTGTTACTTCACTTTCAAACCTACCAAAATATTTTATAAACCAATGGCTTAAAATGCTGAGTTTTAGATATGAACAATTGCAGACATGTCTGTTTTCCACTTGGAGTCTTAATGCTGTTTCCTGATAAGTAGCATGCAGTTTTTACATATGATTTTTATTCTGTGTCATCACTGGAATTGCCAAGACATTGTTGAAGACAGCCTAGAACTTACTTAGGGATTCTGACTTCAGACTTTTCCTTGATGTTGACTCCCAAAAGCTTTTCCCAAGAGTGGGTATAGTTGACTTAAAAACTACATCCAACAATGGAGTCTAGACTAGGGGACAAAATAAGGATACCCTGAACCACTGTTAACTAAAATCTAGCACTTGTTTACCCCCTCACCAGGGTCATGGTTGTTTATTTTGTTTTTTTAAGTGGTGATTTAATAATTAGTATGAATGAAAACAGGACAAGATTAATTATCATTGGGTAGAACTGGTTTTATATCTATATGTGTGTGTATATCTCAGTGGGTGAAATGAAAGATTGTTACTTACCACTTCAAATTGAAAGTGTTGAAATATGTCCTAAGAGAGCAAACTGGTTATTGCATTTGCTTCCTTCTTTATGGAAGAGTGCAGAAGCTGTTGAACTGGAAGTTTTTCCTGATTGGACTATAAAATGCCAGAGGAGCTGCAGTATGTTAGTACATCATAAGATGAGTTGTAGCTGGCACACAAGTCGATGTCTGATCAATATCTACTGGGTCAATGTTCAAAGATCTGAAATCCCTAATGATCCTCAGCTAAAAACATCACTGATGGGGTTGGCACACCTCCTGGCACAACCATCAAACAGAAGTATTTCATAAAATGCAAAATAGCAGAGGTTTTAAAACAATGTTTTCTTTCATTTAGATAAGCCACCTTCCTTGGTTGACAAGCCCTGTCTGTCCAATGTATACATGCACATAAATGACATGTTTTGACTTCTTTAAACTAAATAATGGTTTTATTGATGGAATCCTATATATGTAGAGGCAGGGAGTGAAATGCAACAAACATTGGTTGTAATTATTCATTGAAAGAAATGCTGAAGATGCAGGGATGTTCAATTTGACATTAAAATTTTCAATTACTGGCATCCGATATGTCTATATACACAACCTCATTCAGTTTCCCACGGCTTTTATTTTCATTTTTATCACTGTTGGTTTTAAATATCCCACATTGTAATCACAGTAGTAGGAAATTAGTGCACTTTCTATATATTTTCACCTTTAATTACTTTCTTCATTGATCAAAATTGCATTTTTTAAGTTGAAA